ATTTCTGAAAATAAATCACAAAAGTAAAAAAAAAAAAAAAAAGCGTTTTAAATGTCGGTATCGGCCATAACAGCAATATTAATATCGGTTATCGGTATCGGCCACAATTTTCACATCGGTGCATCACTAGCTGTATCCATGGTCAAGAATGGCCCGTGTCAGTATTCTTCACTTCGCCATCTCTTGGTTTTCGTGACCCGTGTTATATTTGTCACTGGAGTGTCTATTCCTGTTCTGTGCTGGTTAAGCCCCACAAACTGTACTGAAGCCACTATAGGCACATTGCAATAGAGGAATGTAAAAAAGGCAGAAATGCAATGTTGTTTTCATGGACACCTGCTCACTTTCTGGTTGTCCATTGCAGTTTAACAACTTTTTCCCTTCATGCTCTGTGACCATTCTATTCTACTGAAATACATTGACTTCTGAAGCATCTCTCCTAAGCCAACCAGTGGCATCCAATGCCATCATGCTACCCCTTTTACTTTGTGTGCCAAAGCTTTCATTTTAAAAACAGAGAGCCTACCTGAGTCATTGCGTAGGTAGGAGGACATGGCAGGGATGAGGCAGGACTGGCTCAACAGCTCCTGCAGCACTGCTGGCAGCGCTGAGCTGTTGTGGGCTCTGCTGTCTGATGAAGAGGCATCAGCACTGTGGCAACTGCTGGAGCCTGCTGGGTTAATGTAGCTTGCCAAGACCTAGTGAACAAAACAATGTTAAACTTATGTGTCAATTTAACGAAGTTTTACAGTTACAGTATAAGTACAGACTTTACATGACCGGCTCTGGAGCAGGGCCAAACAGGGCCAATCTATGTACTTGACCGTGCTTTGTCACCATGGTACACTCGGCTATGAACCAACTGCCTTCTCAATAAAAATGGACCTTTATCTTAATTAAGACATTTTAGCTACTTTTATTCAGGAAAATCAACTCTTCATATAGTAAGAAAGGAAAATCTTGATCTTTTTTAAATGGTTAGAAATGTGTAATCAAAGGCACATATAGCAGTTTGGGTGAACCTCAAACCTCCAACACGTCATCACTGTCCCTGTGCCCATATCAAGGGTTTTGTTTAACTCTTTGAAAATGCAGCAAAGGCAGAGCATCTTCATAAGCTGCCTATTACCTGCAACATGCTAAAAGCTGTTGAGTAAGATAAATAGGGAAATACAGAGAAGCTAACATTAGTCTTTTTAATAAAACACAATGCTGTGTCTGACAGTTCTTGGTAAACGCAACGGGGTATGAAATCACTGTATTTCTAAATTATCAGTTTAAAAATGACATTGATGGGTGGACTTACCTGCAGAAGACAGGTGACGTGTTCCTCTTCTAACCGTTGCTTGGTGAGGGCCTGCTCCACATCCCAGCCTGAAGCTGTGGATCCAGTACCAAAACCAGTTCCTTTAGCCCAATACAGCTGCTGCTCCTCACTGGTGCCCCCGCCATGACAACTGGATATCTGCGGCTGTCAACAGACATGAGATAATGTACAGGGGAGGAAGTACGGATTTGGGTTGGGAATGTGAATGTAAATGTGAATATACACATTCTCATAATATCTTAATTCAAGCAGACCACATTGTCTTATGATTTTTTTTGTACTTCCCTTCTATGTCTTTGTAAGGAAAGTGGTTGCTAGTTTATTAAAATGGCAGCTATGTAATTTGCAAAGGTTGCGTTTTGATCAGTGAAATTCAACCCTGCCAACTCTATAGTGGAAAAGAGAGGGTTATGTTCTCAGTTCCTAAATAACAGTCATCAGCAGGTTCAGTCTAAAAAAATGTTAATATTGTCCTTCAAAATAAAGGCCAAAGACTCCTCTGTCCTCTGATGTGTTTGGAATTGTTTTGATGGTCATATGGAGTACAAACCTCGATTTAAGTGGTGTGTAATGTAACATGGATGAAGACCAGCAATGTCAAGAGTTTTCTCATATTTAAAACTGTATGCGTCTATGTCTTATCTCATGTCTGTGCTCCCATTGCAGTACATAGATGCTTCCATGGTTCGGCCTGGGTTCAGGAAGCAGTTTTGGGCCCAAGTTCAATATACATTTTCTTCAGCAAGGTGCTGTTGAGTCCCTGCAGATGGCTCAATAGAAATATTCTCCGTCATTTTAATAGGCAGGACAGTCAAGGGGAGTTTAAGAGTCAATCTCTATTCCCTTGCTTCTCACCCTAAGGGTGCCATTAATACAAAGGACATGTCTCTGGCGTTTGCCTATTTCTCTCCAAAACTCCACTTGGCTCTTATCATTTAGGCTGAACACTTAAAGGGGAACTTCGGCAGATTTTTACCCTAGTCTTGATCACTAGAAGTCCCCAAGTACTGTCGATAGGAAACAGAACGACCAGAATTGGTTCTAGC